TCGTGTTTGGTGTTTTTACAACACATGTCAGAGAGCACGGGGAGAGATAATTAAAATAGTCATGAATGAAATAAGAATGTTTAAGAAAAGTAAATATGCTATATGTTATTTGCAATGTCATTCTGTAACATTTCATTAAACTAGTTTTCCTTCCAGATCTCTGGAAGGAACCAGAATTTGAATAAAGCTCCTGTTTTGATGCAGTACAGATGAAAAGAAAAAAATTGTTGTATATTCCGGGAGCTGCTATTGTAAAACAAATTTCTTTCTTTTAAAATTTTCTAGTTTCTAGCTAAGAAATGTTTGTAAAAGATTGGTCCTCGCGTTAGTTTTTCTAGAGCTAAAAGTTTTTCAACAAGGTCGTTTTAGACCTCAGTTTCAAACTAATTAACTCTGGCGGGAAGTATGTAAGGATCTTAAGTTTTACTAACGTTTATTTTATTTTAAATCTTTACTATCACTTCTTATTTTCTACTTCCGGCCAGAATTAAAGCGTGAGGAGTTTATTATGCAAAGTTTGTCTGGCGAACGCCAAGTATTTTAAGTTGTGGCCTTTTTGCCAAGCAGAAGAGAGGAAGCCGTGAGTTCGAAGCAGGCCGCTTACCTTAGAAGTTCGCAGTTGCTACTTTGGTTTGCCTTCCAGGCCAGAGGTTTTAATCCTCTTGATAATTAAACGTATTGTAGTGTTCACAGTCTCTGTGCTACATACGCTTTCTGTTATTATAAGGCCAATCTTATTCTAAGTTAAATTAGAGTTTTAGTTTTATTTTGATATCTTTTAAGTTAGAAGACCCCGAGTGGAGGGTCATTGTATTCCGAAGTACGGAAAGTCATTGTATATAAAGAGAAAAATAAAGGGTTTTTGTATACCCTTCGTCTGTATCCTGTCCACTTACTACAATTAGTGAACATAGCTTTTAGTTTTAGTAAGCTCTCTGTTCTAGTCAGGTCATTGTATGTTTCCGAAGAAAGTTAGAAGAAACATTGAACCTGATAAACTTATACAGAATTTTATTCATTAGAGTCTTTAAAGTTTCTACATTGTAACTATGCCGCTGCATTTAATTTATGACGCAACAAGCAGTTCCTGACAGTTGACAAATTATCAGCAATTATCAGCAACAGCATACAGAATTTCTGAATTTATTTAAGTGAAGCATACTACTATAATGTCAAAAAAAGTGAAATTATTTATTTACAAATGCTTTAAATTTGATTCGTAGACAGCCTGAATATCTCCTGAGAGAAGCATAAAAAGACATCTATATTTTTTATGCCTTATTCAGAGAGCGCGACTTTTATAACGTCTCCTGGGCTGTCTGTAAGATATCTCACAGTCGTGATACGAATTTTTGTTATTGCTGATCCAGTTTAGAGATCAGTGCCTTACTGCAAGTCATAAAATGTACCTTCAGAACGCATAAATCTCTTTTAATTCTGCTTGCAATGCTCCTGCATCTGTCAAGGATGCCTAGCCATAACATGTGAGATGTCTTGGAAGCACTGTGATGACCCAGAAGTGTAAAAAGAGAGTAAAGACGAAGGTTTGAATAACACAGTTATTTAGACAGAACATAATTGTATGCAATATATAGACTGTAAGTACTCTGATACTTAATTAATGCAAGATTATTTCTTGAAACATTTAAACTGTTATTCTCTCTTTTTTTTCCCTTAAAAAGATCCATGCTGTTTATGGAAATATTTATATTATATTATATGTTTATGGAAATATAATATTATGGTAATATTTATTTGAAATTTAAATATTTCCATAAATACAGCTTTTCTCCTAGAACGTAAAACAATAGATCTATATACTTAAAGAAAAATGTTTGTTTGTGTGTTTGTTTGTTTGTTTGCGATTAAAATCGCGAAAATTTTCGACTGTCATATTTCAACGAAAATACCCATTTTGAGCGCTATCGAACGCAATTTAATGATGTTTTTGCCTGATATGCGTACGTAAGAATAGAGCAAAGGACTCTTTTTCCCAAAAGGACGTACGAAAAGGATTTAAAATAGATTCAGAAGATAAATCCATCTGTACGTACGTACTTTACGTAGTATGTATCTCACATAACTCAAAAACGAGTAGCCTCAGAACGTTATAATTTCGTATATAGGACTGCTCCAGCATATAGTTGTGCATCTCCCTTTTTGGTTGCAATCAGCCGCACCAAAAGTATATAACATTCTTTATTATTATATATATATAATATATAACATAATAATAAAGAATAATGTGTTAGCCATAGTAAGTGCTTCTTTTACGGAAATGGAATAAATATCATAATCACATTACATTGTTCTTTTTCTCCCTCTGTGGAAGAAAGGAAAGTTGAATTATGTGTTTCAAGCCTACGCAAGTAAAAATTATTTTATTACATTAGTTACAGGAATCGTTTTTCTTGGGGCAAGCATCAGTTAAGGGGAAAAAATATAATTGTTTCATTATACATTGTTTTATTTTATTTAAAATACGGATAGGTGCTTAGGCAAATTAAAATAATTTGCTTAGTTTTATATAAATAAAGGCGTTTTGAATTTCGTTTAGTAGAAACAAAAATTACGATATTTCTTTTAATTATATGGTATTTGCTGATTATCGATATTTATCATATTATATGATATTTGGATTATCATTGCTGATTTTTAATATTATTGCTGATTACCGATTACCATAGCTTTATCGATTATCGTTGCAAATTATCGAGTATTATTGCTGATTATCGATATTTATGATTTTACATATATGTAACTAATACTTATTACATTTTATATTATCTATACTGGTAAGTAATATTGAAGATCTTATCTGAATTGGCAAAACTTTTAAAAATGAGCTCAAATTTCATTTGAAGCAAATGTACACTTTAGAAAAGTATTAAATGCTGCGAATCAAATTGGATATCTGTACGTAAAGACATTACAACCTTATAATAAGCAAATAGCACAATAAACAGAAAAGATGACTTAATATTAATTTCGACAAATCTTTCTATTTAATACTCGTATATCATATGATATTTGGATTATCATTGCTGATTATCGATTTTTATTGCTGATTATCAATTATTATTGCTGATTATCGATATTTATGATATTATCTGATATTATGTTATATATATCGATACTTATGATATTATGTGATATCGATATTTATATATTTGCTGATTATTATAACTCGATTAACCGGATTTCTTGAAACCGTTTCGTTGAAAAATTAATGTTCTATTGTACTTTCACTTCAGATCATTTCATTACAAAATAGCATACATTTTTTAATATTCATTTAGAAATTTTTTTAATATTTATTAGAAAGATTTGTCGAAATTAATATTAAGTTATCTTTTCTGTTTATTGTGCTATTTGCTTACTATAAGGTTGTCCTGTCTTTACGTACAGATATCCAATTGGATTCGCAGCATTTAATACTTTTCTAAAGTGTACATTTGCTTAAGATGAAATTTGAGCTCATTTTTAAAAGTTTTGACATTTCAAATAAGATCTTCAATATTACTTACCAGTATAGATAATATTTACCGGAAAATAATATTTACCAATATTATTCACATATACGTAGTTTTATTATTGACGTCACTGTCTAGTTATATTTTAATCCCTCTTTTCTCCTAAGTATTCATATAATAGTATTTTATTTTTATTTCGCGCTATGTTATTTCAACTTAAACATATTTCAATTATTTTCAAATCATTTTTCAAGATTTTGGGAAATACATTAAGATTTTAAATATAGTATTAACAAATTGGCCAAAGTTCATGACAGAAGAAGTCGTATGTTAGACATCAAGAAAGTTCAAGAGACCCAGCTAGGTTTTGAAAAAATTGCAAGTCCGTATTCGCATCCTTTTAAAAATAACAAAATAATTTTAACATAGAAATTAATGAAAATTTTGCTTTTTTATATAATTAATGTACTTTCATATAAATAAAAGTAAATAAGTATTAGTTACATATATGTAAAAGTAATTAATATAGTTACGTATAACTAAAAGAAAATAAGTAGTTGCATATAAATAAAAGTAAACAGCTTGAAGCTTTGAAGTTGCTGATCCATATCCAGAAGATATGATTCATTCGATATCTAGATGTGATTCATATGCAGAAATGAATGGTCTGAGATGCAGGAAATTCGAGCTATAATACAAAACAAATGAGAATTCTTCTTTCAGCCAGAACATCCTTTTTTATCGCCGTCTTATTTTACATTCATAATTATTCACTGGTCGTAACAGAAGTAACTAGAAACGAGAGAAGACGTAGTAAGCTAGAGTAAATTGATGAAAAAAAAAACACATTTTTATTAAAAAAAAAGCATTAATTTAAAAAATATTACAAGTGATTTTCGTTATTTTACATTTATGTTATTTTTCTGGAAAGAATCAAATAAATGGTATGAAATTATACGCGCTGTAGGTAAAATTATATTTTGAGATACAAGAAAAAAAAAAAAAAAATGTTCTTTTTTTCAGACTTTTGTTTAAAAAATAATCAGGTTTTTCTTATACAATTATCATCAGATTGAAATCGAACACCTTGATGATTAATGATACCTAAAATGATTAAATTAATTCAACACGAAGAGGTTAAACAGGATTACCAGTTATACTTTATTTTTCCTAAAGATTGCACAGCTGTATCTACAAATCTTACGAATCTTCAAAGAACATCTGAAATTCTGCAATTCGAATCTTTCTCGCCATTCATGTCGTTTGAATTCTGAGCTAAGAAATCAAGAAACGTTCTAACTCATGAAAGGATTACTTTTATAGTAGCTTAGCAGAAGTGTTTATTACAAAAAAATAACACGATTGTTGCAATAGAGTGTTATCTGAATCACCAAGATAATCTCCAACATATTTCATTATGGCATTCACTAAAATCTACAAAAAGTTTTAGCACGGCATTTTGAAATGAAGTCTTAGGTTGTAGGGTCATTAGGTTATTTCGAAGCAGGAGAGATGAAAAATTAACAATGCCTTCTCCGGGACTCGAACCAGGAACCTCTCGAATACACGTCGAGCGTGCTGACCGCTACACCATGAAGGCATGCTAAGAAGGCGGTAGAAATACCTTATATACTCCCTCTTTTAAAGGGCGACAGAGGATTAAGGGACCCAGTCGCCCAAATCCTGGTGGTGAAGAATTATCAGTCACCACCTTTTAGTTCGGGCGCCACGCGCCACTGTAGAGATATTATGTTATTTCGAAGCAGGAGAGATGAAAAATGAGCAATGCCCTCGCCGGGACTAAAACCACGGACATCTCGAACACGCATCGAGCGTGCTGCCCACTACACCATGAAGGCATGCTAAGAAAGCGGGAAGGTTTGTTACCGTAAAATTGAAGATCTTGATTAAAATTAAAAAATCAGTTGTAAATTTGGAAAATTTCGCACTGCATTATATACAATTAGTAGGGATCAGGCAGTCGTTCATAAAACAGTGTTATGTTAGGCTACAGGATTTTTGTGAAAGGTGCATTAAGTGTACAAGATACATACGACATAAAATCCAAAACTACGATAGATAAAGAAAACGTACAAATAAGTAAAGGAAGAAACTTATCCAGAGACATGCGAGAAAATATCATAAACAATTTCAACAGTTACAGCGGTTTCACCAACTTCAGTATGCCGTATTTTGACAGAAACTTTGTAGAATAGAGATTTTTTTTAGGTCTGTCTCGCGGTGAAAAGATGATTTCATGATGAAAGTGAAAGATGTAAAAGTCTTGAATGTCTTAATAAAAGTCTTGAATAACCATAATTGAACAGAGTGGTTTATAGACTTTGAACTAGCATTAAAATGGTTGTCAACCAAGTATAGAAGCCATTCTCCACGCGACGCCAAACATTTTGACATAATCAATCGCAGGGGACGTAAATGATATCTGCTTAGCATTACCAACGAATCATAAAAAATATTATCCACAAAAAAGTATGAAGGCATGAGTGTTTGTAAAAATTACCCAGAAAATTAAACAGAAACCATTTGTTTTGCTGAATTATGGGCGGTTCATTTCGAACGCTAGTGCCCGCTTGTGTTACAGCGTGGCCTTCGAGAAAGGCCACGGTTACAGCCGGAAACATTTGTACCACAAGATTTTCGCCCTGCGTTGTCTTCACCGCGACGTTTCCGTCCGCAATGTTTTTCGGCGGACACCTGGACGAAGGAAGGTTACGACAAATTTGCTGACCAACTGTAAGCTGAGAGTTACCCCATAAAGTCTATACATGAATCCACTCGACTTCAAATGCTTTCCAAATTGAAAGAGCACCTGTATAATCTCTTTTCTCATTCACTATAAAAATTTCTTTAACGGTCATTCAGGCTATCCCAGAACTGAATAAAAGCTGTAAACGACTTATTTCTTTTTGGATTGCCTCTGTAGCCCTTATTCTTTAAAGTATAATTTGAATTATTTATTATGAATTAATAAGAATGTGGATTATAATTCGTTATTCCGAATCGGAATAGTATTACTGTGGACAAGGTTGTTCTTACAAAGGCCATTATACGGGGTTGCCCTAAAGTACCCTTTCTTGACCCAACTCTGTGGAACCTAGTGGCTAACTCAGTATTTACTGTTTCGAAAGCGTCGTAAAGATTAGGCTTATTGCTTGCTCATTTGTGCTTGCAGAAAGAAATGATGTAACAAGCACAACGCAAGGGCTAAATATCTTCGCTGAATGGGCCTGGGGACACAAACCTACAGTTTCTGTTGACGAAATTTCAAGCACTAGTGTTGGCACGAAAAGTGCCCTAAATAAAAATCCAGTTTCAGTTTTCAAGGCAGGCAAATAAAATTTTTCCAGCAACTGAAATATGTCTGGCTGATTATGAATAGAAGGCTGTCATGAGCGTCACATGTTAAAGACATCAGACAGGGGGCGAGCACTCTCACAGTAAATGTGCAGCGAAAATGCTGGGAAATCCACGACCTTACTCAAATGAGGGGTGCCTACAAAACTGCTTAAATTGTGGTACAGACATGTAGGGATTATTTTAATTTAGTAATAGCTATTTTTAATTTTGAAGCCCTTTCCTTTAAATTTTTGTTTACCACCTACAACTCCCCGGCAAAATGATATTTCAGTATCCAGTTTTATGTAAATGAAGTAGAAGCAGTATTTAATTGGAAGTTCAGTCACTTCCGTAGAAGAGAGCAAAAGTTCTCAGTAGAGCGTGATCTGCATTCGGGCCACGTCGTTGGTTTAAAACTATCTTACTACGTACGGCAATAGTTTTAAGTGCCTATTACAATTCGTCGGTGAGTATGGACCAACTCGGTTAGTTACTTTTGTATAGATTCGGCTAAAGTTTATAAGGTATTTCTCCCGCCTTCCTAGCGTGCCTTCGTGGTGTATGGTTCTGTACGCTGGGCCGGTATTGAAGAGGTCCATGGTTCGATTCCCGGCGAAGGCGATTGCTCATTTTTCATCTCTCTTGCTTCCAAAAAAATCCTAATGTCTCTACAGTTGCGCCCGAACTAAAAGGGTGTTGGATGAGGATTCTCCACCCCCAGGATTTGGCAATTGGGTCCCATAAAAACCCTAGTCGCTCTTTAAAAAAGGGAGTATATAAGGTATTTCTCCCACTTTCCTAGCGTGCCTTCGAGGTGTAGTGGTTCTGCATGCTGGGCCGGTATTCCAGAGGTCTGTGGTTCGATTCCCGGCGAAGGCTGCTGCTAATTTTTCATCTTTAGTACTTTACCAATAACCTAATGTCTCTACAAGTTTAGCTAGTTAGAATTAGTTTAGTTCATTATTTTCTATATTAAGTTAAAGCCCAAGTGGAAGCCTTCTTAAAAGTCCGCGAGGGATCCATTTGTGATATTTCTTTGAGTGAATAAAAGAATATAATAACCCTTCTTTTGACTCATATTTTATAGTTGCAAGAAGACCAGCGAATAGTCGCTAGACACTGCACTAAAGTTCTAGTAGTCAAGGACACGTAAATTAACTAGAACTTTATAGACAGTAACGGATAAAGCCGCTCTATACGGCTGATCCATATGGTGCACGAAATGAAACTTAGCACAGTTTTCAGTTCATCATTATAAGAAAATACTATTAATAACCTAAATGCATTTTTAAGTGATAAGTGACGGTGGACGTGGGAACTGTCCCTTTGCCGTAAAGATTAATCAGTACAGCACTACGTCCACCCTTATCCAAAGTTGGCTAGAGAGGAGCCTCACGAGAGCTATACATTTACATGTATGCTATACTTTGTACTTGGCATTACTTGGTAATATATTAACAAATAAAACTGTTCACAAATTCTATCTGTGTTTACATTGTTGGGAGTGACTTTACATAAAGCTGCGTATTGGAACATTATAATTGCTCCGGCAATTATGCGAATGTGCTTGTGAGGGTTAACCTGCTGGGGCGTAAACATTTATACACTACAAGTGTTCAGAAGGCAGCTATAACTAAATTTCTGCAATACACGTATGATTTATGCTATTACCTGCATTTTTAAGCAGGCTTTGTAAAATTAGCTTATAAGGTATTTTCTCTTTCCTCGAAGCATGCCTTAATGGTATAACGGTAAAACACTCGGAGGGTATTCGAGAGGTCCAGGGTTCGAGTCCCGGCGAGGACACAGCATATGTTTCACTCTCCAGCATCAAAATAACCTAATGATTCTACAGTGGTGACCAAACTAAAAGGAGGTGAATGATGATCCTTTAGCACCAGAATTTAACGACTGGGTCCCCTAATCCCTAGTCTCCCATTTAAAGGGGAAGTATATAAGATATTTTCTCCCTCCTTGAAGCACATCTTCGTGCTATAACGGTAGCACACTCGGCGCGGATTCGGGAGGTCCAGGCTTCGAGTCCCGGAGAGGATATTGCACATTTTTCACGTCTGCAGCATCAAAATAACCTAATGACTCTACAAGCTAATTTGGTAATGTAAATTAAATCCAAAGAATAAATTCAGAACAGAAATAAACAATCCTTCTATTTACATTAACTTTTGTATTTTGATAGGAGTCGGTATGAAAAAGAAGAGATAGAGCTGAACACTTAACTCCTTTTTTGCAGTTTAGAAATTTGATTATTTAACAATATGTATTCCAGTAAGCACAACGAGATACATTCCGATGACCTCATTGATCACGTGACTTATGTATACCTTTTATAAACGTACAATGCAGATGACCTCAGAGATCACGTGACTTATGTACAGCTAATGCAAACAAGCAAGGTCATTCTTCCTCTTCCTCTTCTCTTGCGGAATGTATCTCATTAAATTAGGTACTGTTGGGGATTAAATATAATTTCTAAATACTATGGCATCATTGCCGTCGTCTCAGCTGCATTTTCATTATTTGTGATAATGGTTTTTCCGTTATTTCGCAACGAAACCCAACTGAACTACTTTGCATAATCATCTGACCTGTTTGTACATTTAAAATTGGAAAAAAACACAACAGTATCAAACTTACAGAAAGCGTGTTAAGATGTAAAATAACTGTCGAGATATACATGATTTAAAAACCGAAGAAGAAACTAAATTGGATGGCCACATAAACCAAATGAATGAAATAATTTTAAGCAGAGTACAGTGTTCTAAGCCTTAACTATTATTAAAATACTTATGGCGTCTCTCTCCACGTCCAAAATGATATTTGTGAATAGTAATAGTTTAGTTTTCAAAAGAAAAGCAATCGATATTTAGTAGGCACAAGAACAACATTTAGTGAACCAAACTGAATGTGGTTTGCTAGAGTTCATTAAATGCAGCAGTCTTTAATTTTGGACAATGTCCCTCAGGCACTGTATCCTCATCCTCTTTTCAGGCTCCGCAAAATTGCTACAGATTTGGTTCCTTGCAATCACAGTTGTCGGAATACGTCGAGAACTTTCTTTTTTTAACCCTCTTACCCTAATCTATTTGCAGAGACTTAAAAAAAAGCGCTGCTTGATAGCATCCCTTGTAATCAGGAAAGAAAGCAAAAACATGAAATAAAAGAAAACCAAAAAACGAAGTTCTGATTGCTTCTAAAGACCGCGCAAAGAGAACAACGAAAGAA